GTTATACGTATATGTTTTAGTTGAAAAAGAGCATGTGACAAAAATATGCGTATAAATTCATAATTTTGCTGGAGTTTTGCAAGTTAGACGTCAAAAGTAGTCCGGCCGGATAGAAAAAATCCGTCTGGTTCCAACTCTGGGCTAGGACTTGATTCGCGCAGAAATTTCTAACTGCATTCCTAATAATCTCAATTCGATATCCTTTCAACTTATTGAAATCATTTTTCTTAATTAAAATTATTGAATTATTTTAAGGAACGTGAAAAAGGTAAACAACAATCACGTGATCATGAAGAAACTAAACGACAAATTGAAGAAGATGCCGATGAAGAAATAGTTAAATTAATGGAAACACATGAAGGTGCATTAATTCAATGTAAAGATGAGAATGTTAACTTAAGAAATAAGAGTACAACATATCAACGCAAAGTAAGTTTGAAATAAAACAAAATTTCCAAATATTTTGTTTTCAAAAAGGTTAAAGATCTTGAAGAATCAATTCGAAAAAGAGAAACAGATTTAGTTACATTGAAAAGTGAAGAAATTAAATTACAAAATAATATACGTGGTTTAAAAAAAGATATTGAAGGATTAAAAAAAGAAATTCAAGAACGTGATGAAACAATTCAAGATAAAGTAAATTTTTTTTGTAAAGAATCAATATAAAAAATATTTATTTAATCTTATAGGAAAAACGTATTTATGAACTGAAACGTAAAAATCAAGAATTAGAAAAATTCAAATTCGTTCTTGATTATAAAATCAAAGATCTTAAAAAACAAATTGAACCACGTGAAATTGAAATTAAAGATATGAAAGAACAAATAACACAGGTATGAAATATTTCTATATATACAATATATTTAAATATCGAATAAAAATCTTTTGCTGTCTAGATGGAAGCTGAACTTGAACGATTAAGTAAAAGTAATGATGAAGAAAAATTAAAGAGTGAAGAATTACGTGCAAAATTAAATGCATCATCATTATCTTTACGACAAGAAAAACAAATGGTTTATTTGTTTAGATTTTCTTTATTTTTATAGAATTGTTTTTGTATTTTATAGAAACGAGATTCTGAATTAGCATTGAAACGTATTAAAACTGATATACATAATTGTTCAGCTTTCATTACAGAACCAAAATTATTAGCACAACGTGTTGCAGATATTTATGCTCAATATGTTCGAGAAGATGCAGTAAGTAAATCAATTAATGTAACCAGATTTCTTCTAGTTCTATATATACATATTTTTGAGTATTTCAATTGCGATGTTTTCATCTAAAATCCGGGTCTGGACGCCATACACTGCACAGTTCATTGACAGTGAAATTTTCACTCTTAATCAGAAAACTTGTCAGCGCAGTCTCATTGAAACTCCTTCACAAGTGCTATAGGGCATTTGCTATTCAATAGCTTTTGAAAGATATACCAACTAGCAAACTCAAATTCAACATCTATGGTTATGATTCTTTCTGAAACGTGGGTAGCATATTAACCTGCCGCTCATACCTACACCCTCATGCCAGACTATGTCTAGCCATTTACATGGCTCGATATGAACGGCTACCTTGAGTTGTGGTGAATGGCCTTTAACGCCCGGTACTAAAGTCTTTAATGAAAGGGCAGGAGCTAGAAAACTTACATTCGTGATCTTCGAGAATAGACGTGAATTCCATAAATTGTAGAGAAAGAAGAATATATCTAATCATCGAACTTGATATTATTAGTATTATTTTTTCTGATAACAATCAGTCTAAATAAAATTTTAAATATTTGTTAATACTTTTTTTTCTTATTAAATAGACTGAAGATGCAAGTATTGATCAAGATATAACAAAAGAATATGCACGACAACGTGATCATCTTGAACGAACTGTTCGAAGTCTTAAAGTAATTTCTTATTGATTTGTTTTTCTTTTCAGAATTCAATTCTTTTTATTTTAGGCGAAAGTTGATAAAGATTCTGAACAACATAAAACAGAAAATATTCGAATAATGCAGGTATATTTATTTTAAAACCTTTTTTTTGTTCTTCTATTATATTTTGTTATTTAATCAATAAGGAAAATGTTACATTAATCAAAGAAATCAATGATTTAAGACGTGAATTAAAAGCATCTCGTGTTAAATTACAAGATTTACAAACAGCTATGGGTATAAGTCGTAAAACAGCAGCACGTACAACTGAAGAAATTGTTCACGCATTAAATACACAACAAAATAATCATATTGTTAACGAAAAACAAAATGAACTGGAAAATTTAATTCAACATCAACGTCATGAAATTCACCGACTTAATGATCAAATTACTCGTGTTGAAAATAATAACAGTCGTAGTGCTTCAGCTAATGGTAATCGATCTCGACCAACATCTGGGCAATTACCACCAATTACATCAACATTAACTGCTCATTAACATTAGACTATATATGCATATAATACTCAACAATTATGCTTTCTATTTTTTTTTCTTTTTAAAAAAAATATATAAACATTTAATCTTCAAACAGTATGAAAGCTATCTTTAATTTCTTTTACTATATTATAATTCAACCTACTGTAGATAACATTGAACTGGTGGATAGTAACGTAACCAGAAAGTCACGGTATCTCATTATCCATGAAAAAAAATAGTGCAAGCACTGGTAGTTACTAGTATTTTCTCTTCCGGTACCCATACAAAGACTAACGGTGACTGTGCTAGTCCACCCCTGCTTGACAATCGCATAGAAAAAACATCTGCTGTGATATGTATTAGACAAAGTTGAAAATTATAATCGATGTTAAAGTGGATTATTGAGTTAATTACATATCTATCATAAATAAATAATGCCGAGTTTAATTCAAGTCAATTTTCTATATTTTAGTAATTAGAAATCATATAAAACTGAAAATTTTGAAAGCACGATTATCAAACTGATTTCTCATAGAACGTCAATTATATACAATATATAATAAATCATAACAAGCGTCCGTGAGAATCATCTATGGGTATATCAAATGCCTCTGTTTTGTTATGATTACATATATGGCGAAATTCGAGATTATCGTTCTTGATCTCAATGTGTTTCAGTCTGTATTAATATATCAATAGATCCAGTATTCATCAAAATTCAATCGTATTAGTTTCATATCAATTGCGTTCGAGAATATAAATTATTTTTAACACACAACAAATAAAATTTATTTTCTGCTAATACTTTGAAATACTTTGAAAAAATTAATATATGATTTTCTACTATTTTAATACAATCATCTTGCGCCATCTGTTTGCTATA